TTAAAGAAATTAAAGATTAAAAAGATGTGGGGCTGCCAGGACAACTTCAGCACGCCACGGCATGAATTCAACAAGTATCTGGTGAAGTAGTATTTACAGCAGAATGAGATTGAGGGAGATTAATAGCGGGGTCGGTGAAGAGTGATAGTTGTTGCTCAACATATCGGTAGAATAACATATTTGAGACTTGCCTGAGGAGGTAAATGTATTCTGATTTCCATTAATAGGAAATGAACGGCCAGTTAATGTAGTTTGTAAAGACGGGGCTGATTTATTGGCTTACACACATGCCATTAATGTGTGTGCAAACAGTGGTACCGTGGGACCTTAAGCCTGTGATCTGGTTAGTGTGTTCGACTGTGATGCAAAGCTGCACTGTTGGCACGTGGCTCCAACAAATATTCTGTGGAATGAAACTTTTTTACCTTATGAATATGAAATGTACTATATGAACAAAAGTATTGGGTCCCACCTCTTGCCTAAACATGTAATGGCTGGTTATACCAAATCTGTGAGTATTTCCTTGTAGAAAATGCTGAGCACCTCCCAGCTGTACTTTGGGACTAGATTGCAGCTGAACTCTAGCATCCCTGCATGTAAGAGAAGGGGAATAGCTACTTTGAAAAAAAAATCAATATTCTTTCATGACCTCCTGAAGTCCTCTCATTACAGCTTTGCACTCATCACACTCAGTCGGTAACTCGTGGGTGTAGTGAAAAAGGGAAATGGACTTGTATTGTGCCTTTTTTTCCCCCTTTTAGTCGTTCACAAAGTGCTTTACGCATTTTGCCTCACACATACTCTCACATAGCACTGGCAACTGATCTTTCATGCAAGGTACTCGTCTACCATCCCGAACAACTTTAGGTTCACTTTCTTGCTCAAGGGCACTTTGGCATGCAGACGGGAGGAGGTGGGTGTTGTGTAGGCAGCCCTCTCTTCCCCATATAGACAATTTAATTTGTAAAATAAGAATCAGGAAAGTGTAAATAAAGTGGATGAGGGTTCTATCCTGAATGCGTTTACATCTTCATCTGTCTTTATATTTTGCTTTCTTTCAGACGTCCTATGACCAAAATAGAGATATTAAAGTGAGTTTGTCATAAGATTCTCAAATAATCGAATTATTTTAATAGATAGTTTTTGTCTTTGATTGCCTTAGTGGCAATTTAAACTCAGTCTGAAATTAGAAGAGACAGTGGCATGTGTTGGCATTCAGTCGGTGCTTGATTTGTTACTTAGCAGAAATATTTAGCTACGAGGGTGCTGCTATTCTGTGCTGTGGTCGATCACACTGAATCCTCAGGGACTCTAATATGACTAGACACATATTGAGGTACTCCATTTGACATCAGACATTTCATCTCCTTAATATAAAGAAATTGCCTGGAACGGGGGCCATTTTTTAACTTTGTGTGCTTGATGGATGCAATTTATATTCAGCTATAGTCTGCGCACCTAGCCAAATGAAGGACCTTTATATTTTGAAATCCAGGAAAACACAATCCCTCTCTCATTATAAGAAAATAACAGAGGATGCAGCTGCAAAGTGATGTTAGTCCCATAGTTCCTCTGAGGCTTCGTGTTTACAATCCGGTTGTACACTGTAACAACACAGGGCTGCAAATTACAGAGCCCCCATGGCAACATAGGTGGGAAAAGATCAATAACTCATGGCCACAAGCTGGTAAGGTGTGGGCACATGATAACTCAATTGTGGCTACATGACACTGAATCTGTTGTTTACTGCACACTGGACGAGCTCCATGCATGAAGCATAGATACATTTGATTTGGATTTATCTTATTTTTGCGACGCATCATAATATCCCGCAATGTTTGTCACGCTTGTTGCCAGACGATTGCACCACTCACCTTATCGCTAATGTGCTAATCTCCATAAAGCTTTAGTCTGACATATATATTAGCCTTCAGTCTCTAGGCACAGACTTTCAGAGTAAACAAAACTGTATTTATGAACAAAGCTGTCGATTCCACCTCACAACATTTTTCAAATTTATTGCTGAGCAATGTTTAGTGCGGTCAGTAAATAACATTCTACATCTTGTGGTCACCATTTACTTGTGAGTTTCCTGAGCCTTATTAAAAGGCAATAAGCAGGTTTTTGCTTTAACTCATTGTGAAGTAAATGTTATGCGTATATAATAACACATGTTGTTAGACTATATAGAACCTCCTAAAAAGCCTGGATTGGAGAACCAAAACTGGGAAGCTGGATAATGATTTCATTTCCCTGTGAGCTGCTGTTAGCATGGATTCGTAGATCTGCCAAGTTTTTCTAAGCACTCATGGTCACCCCCAGAAATTTCCAATATATGCAAATTATTATTGTTATTTAGTTATTTATTTTTTACAAGTGCTAAATTAAGGACTTGGAGATAAAAGCCGAAATACTTCACTCAGCATCAACCACACAGTCTTAGCTTTATTACATTTGATAGTCATACATGTGCATCTCTTTGTCAGTTGCTACTGTAATGTCTAGCCAACACTCACTTATCTTCTCCTAATGCATTACTAACTTGTGGCCACCCAATAAAATATTAATGCAGAGCAATTATATTTTCCCACTCATGTCACTGGGGAGGAAAATGGAAGAAAACGAGGGAAGTGTTTATGGCGTTTATGGGATGCAGTCAGACTGAGCTTTCACTGTATAACCTTGGTTCAGTTCTCTGAGCACTCATCATTATTTCCTCTCTTAGATTTTGCACAAGTGCGTGATGCTGCAGTAGCCCATTTTCTCTGGTTTGGTTCAGCGTCTTTGGGTTTCAAGAGCAACTCAAGTTGTAGACGTACTGTGACGATGCCAAAAGTGTTCAAAGTAACATATAAAAGTTATACTGCTGTGGTGTGGGTGAATATCAAAAGCTTAACTGAGGTCTAATCAATGCAGGTTTTAGGAAGCTGTATAATAGAAATAGGTTGATAATGGCTGCACTTTAATCATTCTATTTTATTATGGAAAAAGGACTCCCTGAGCCACATTTTACTCAGAGCACAGTGTTCTTCCATTATGACAATCTGCCATTATTTTTAAGCAGTGCTTCAATTAAACCCCCACATAGAGGAAACAACTCAGCCAGTGTGCTTAAATACTGAACCTTCCACTTCCATTTGTATTCAGCTTCTTATCGTGACCTCCCTCTGTAGCGCACTCTGCCTCCCTGCTCTTTATTAGCTGTCACAAAAAAATGCAGGTCATATCATGGGCGTTCGCCTGGGAGCTCGAGCTGTTCTTAACTTTCAGAAGATTTCTGCCAAAAGATGCCAGGCACAGCTCCTCCCGAAGACCCTGCTTTTCATCTGCTGCTCGTTTTTCTCATGCAAAAGGTTCTTGAAAGGAGCTGAAATATACTCGTGCTCAAAATAAAGAAAAGATGGCGCAATCTAAACCGCATATTGATGTTATAATGAGCAGAGAAGTGAAATATTGACAAAATGTCGATACATTCAGCTAGGCAGGTTTCAATTAGTACTCTGTACCCCCAACAATACACTTTACAGTTTGAGATGACGGGTTTATTGATTGGTTGGTTGGTTGATTAAGTTTTTTCTTCTCCTCTCACAGAACACACAGACTGTTCTTTATTAATTACTTTACTAGAGTTGAATCTAAATCCGAGGTTATATAATGGACCTGCTCAGTATTGATTGACATTTTCTGTGGTAAGATACTGGGTATCTCTCCCCATTAGATGACCAGACGTGGAGCAAACAATGTTACAGTTGTCAGCATGGCAGATAAATGTTACCATGTGAGACGGATAATTCTGCCAATCGGTGTAATTACTTTGATGTTTAAAAGGATAATTGCATTCCTGAATATGAGTGATTGGCATCTTGTTGTGTAAAGTGCTTGAATTCATGACACATTATTTAACGCTGTTGTTTAAGAGACCAGTGTTTTCCCTTTTATATATATATATTATTATTTTTTTATCTGTGGAAATTGTTGTTACATTTTTAGTGGCCAAGGTCAGAAAATGCACATCTGAGCATTCACATCAAAATTTGTCAAATGAGGAAAAAGGAAAATGTGATTTTAAAATAGCCTTTATAGAGAAAGTGAAGCCTGATTTAGGTCGACAGCTGTACAAAGATTATTGTGAAAAGTGTACATGCTGTGTGATGTCACTGTGTACAGAGCCATGATGTGATAATTACCATCTCACGTCTCTCTCTCAGCGTTCAGCATCATAATCTGATTCAATCACTCACGAGGTGTCTTTTGTCTGGGAAGATGACAGCCATACCCCCCCCCCCCCAAAAAAAAAAAAAAAAAAAACCAAACAAACAAACAAAAAAAAACCAGGAGTAATTATGACACTCAGAGGAGCCCTACGTGCCACTTCCTGTTCAGGCCGGCAGGTTTAGCAATCAGACAGCTGGCACTTGATATGTTGTGAATTGTGGCAGTTTTATCTGTCTGGGAAGACTAACTGTGTAATCCCAGGCATTGTTACATCATCACCATCTTCCGTCACAACAATCCCCACCTCACCCTTCGCCCATTCCTCTGTATTTCCAAGGTCAGTTGAGTAACATCCTGGCTGGGCTGATAATTTGAGAGATTGTCCCTGCAGAGATGCATCACGATTATACTGCAGGATTAATGGATTGTAGATTGATTGGTGATGTCCCCTTAACTAAAAGGTTAAGTTGAAGTGCACCTGCAGCCTCTTCAGCAATTAAGAGGAATTAAGGTATATGGGGTGTTGTCGTGCTTTTAACCTGGATCTGTTAATTTGTTTATTCTCCAAACAGCCGAATAACCACGCAACACACGTGCCTCACAAGCGGCGAAAGAAACGAAAAGATCTTTCAATTCTCAGCCACAAAATGGATTTTAATTATGCGAAAGCAAGGGGATAAATTTATAAAAGGAAGTGCAGTTTTTCAAAGCACTCGAAGACATCCTGGAAGTGTATGTGCAACGTTCAGCTTTATTGATATTCCTTTTCTTCACTTTGCCAACAGTTCGTTACCTGCTGAGGAACAATGTGAGTCCAGACCTCTGCAATGAAGACGGCCTTACAGCTCTGCATCAGGTAAGATTATCTGTCTCCACCTGTCCTTCTTTATGTCCATCTTTGACTTTTCTGATGTGTTTTAACTCTGCCTGTTTTTTTTAAAGAAGATTAAGAACTTGATGTATAATTTGAGTCTCATTTTTTTAATCCAGTTTTTTTTATACTGATTGTTGAATTTCCTGATTAAGACATGCATAATATGTCAGTATTTTATGAGCATTTTTTAGTCATATACACCCCCAGCTCTAAAAAAAAGTTGGGATGCTGTGAAAAATAAAGCTATATTTTATTCACGATTGAACATAATAACATATATCAAACATTTAACCTGAGAAAATTGCCCATTTTAGAATAGAATAGAATAGAATTCAACTTTATTGTCATTGCACATGTTACAGGTACAGGGCAACGAAATGCAGTTTGCATCCATCCAGAAGTGCTTTAGCCATGATATAGATATATTACAATATATATTAGCAATAATATAGATATGTAAGTATATTACAGAAATGGATCTGTTATGGTATGTACCATAATATGTACACGGTATGAAGTATGTTATAGCATATACTTATAGTTATATGCTATAACTATAAGTATGTACAGGCTGTAGTGAGTACAAGCTATGTACAGGCTATGAACAGGATATAAATATGGATGGGTCAGCCAGGTAATATTTTAAGACAAATATTACCTCATATTGAATTTGATGGTGGTGATAAATAAAATAAAAAAGCTGTAAGGGTGCAACAAAAGGCTGGAAAAGTTAAAAGAAACAGCTGGACAAACATTTTTCAACTGGTTATTTGGTAACAGATCCAACAGGTTCTATTGTGAATACAATATGGATTTATGAGATTTGCCAGTCATTAAAGTCTGGTTATATTTATTTTTCATGTGAAATCCAAACATGTTTGGAATTCGGTTTATATGCAGCCCTTTTAAAAATATGCACCTCAGTGGAGTATTCCTGTATTTTGTGACAGTCTCTTACCTCTACCACTGAGCTTCAAGAAGCAAAAAAAGGCACCAACTGGGGAGGTGAAAATAATAATTAGGTAGAGGAAATGTTCAGAAAAATGCACCGTTAATCGTTTTAATTGGGGCAGCGCTGACATTTACTATTGTTAGACACATAATATGTGTAAAACGTTTTTTAATCTCTTTGTTTTGATCATGTGTTTTTCATTGAACGCTGTAACATCAAGGCTTTTTCTACCTCCACCATCACCATCTCTTTGTTGAAATGTAATGAAATAATTTCCAGAGAAGTTTGCCTGGGTGGGAATTAATGTTTGAGGTTTTCTGACATTGAAAAAATGATTTTTAATAGTCCGGAAATGAGTTCAGTTTTGGGGAAATGAATCATTTTTTGCCGTCGGATATTCATAGAGGATGTGAGGCCTGTTTTCACTTGCTAATGAAAGCTATTACTGACATGATAATCAAAGCTTCCCCCTCAACCAAATCAATTCTGCGTGTCACTTTTCATTTTAAACTTCTCAGTAAACAAAGTCAGCCTTTGAATTTAAAAAATAAACTTTTTTGTACCCCAGTTGTAGGTTTTCTGACATCGCCATTATTCAGTCCCAGCGTCCATCGCTGAGCTGAAAGATTCCTGGAAACATGGGAGCAGGAGAGAACATTTTATTTTGCAGAAAGCTGGATTATTGAAGGAGCAGGATGGCCATAAACTTGCTGGTATAGCTCACTGCATCAGTTTGTTTGTCCCTCCTGAGCTGAAATGTCAATTGCTGAAGCAGCTCGTAGAGTAAACTCTAGATTTTATTTAGGTTTGGATGGCAACTTTATGGGTGAAAAAGCAGTTGTTTACAATGTGGAAGTCATCAAACCTTCTCAACTTTCCCCAAGTGGGGTCACATTTTAATGTAAAATAAAAACAAATCTGACTTCCTGAGTGATGACATTTAAACATTTCAGAAGGCCCGATGCTTATTTATGACTTTGGCTTCCCCTCTGCTCTTTAGCTCCTCGTCCCCCGCTCTTCTCGTTTGTCTCCTTGTGCAATTTCAGTGTACCCCTGACAGTTTATGTCCTCTCTCCTTCTTTAGCTTCTCAGTCTGCTTCAGCTCGAATAGCCGTCCTTTTCTCTCTCTCCTGGTTGTTCACAGCCTAATATCCAGGCTCCTGCTGAGAGGCGGTGAAATGAACAGGGGAAGAGAAAATTGAAGTCCATCAGTCACCAACAGTGTGAATGCTGTTTTTAAAAGTGGTGGGCTGCCAAGAGATCAGATTGACCTTTCAGCTTTGAATGTGTGTGTACCTGGTAATCTGCTATTTGGATGGGTCAGCCAGTGTCTTCAAGATGAGACCTTTTCGTGACTATGAATAGCAACACACATACAGACACACACACGCACACATGCATGCGCTCACACTGTAAAAAATTACAGTCACACAAAGGAAATTCACACAAATGCTCTTCTGTGTTCATTTTGTCATCTTGTTTTTCAGAAGCTAGATTAAGCAGAGACAGAAAACTAGATACTGAAATGGATGTTGGGGAAAGAAATGAGTGTGAGAACACACACATACACACACATACAGACACACACAGACACCCGACAGAAGGTGAGATAAATGAAGGAAGGTAGCAGTGATGTTCTCTAAATGAAGTGTCATACCTGTCCTGGACTGGTCTCGCTTCACTGACATTAATCAGGAGGCGTCCTGCAGGGGGTCACTGTATGTACAATAACACAACTACACACACTGCAGTATTTACTACAGTTTTTTTGATGAATGCATCCAGATTCCTTTAGCTGGGATGTCTAAAATCAGCGTACATGCATTTGTCTGTTTGCGTAAATGTGAGTGGAGCGTGGACACGAAACGCAGCCTCAGTCCTTCATTTTAAGGAAAACTGCTGTATTGGAAGTAGTAGCCTGCCAGTTCAGAGGGCTCACCCTGAAAATATCTGAGGGGGAAAAACTTGCTTTCACTGTTTCTGTCTGTTAAGTATATGCACATGCACAGTATTACAGTACTGCCATACAGGCAATAACAGTTTTACTCTACAGTGATTTGCAGCATTTAAACATGTTTACTGCTCTTTTATTTCATAAGTTCTGACATCCAGAGTTCAAATTAGCACCCAGCAAACTGCCAAATGTGGGTAAATGTTCGTGCCAAAATAATCATGTAATAAAACACAGCGGTGAGAGCCTCTAATGTGTTCTGGTGTCATTTTCAAGCACCCTGCTATAGGGGGTCAAGTGTGACAAGTTTGATGAGGAAGCTTGTCGAGTACAATAGTAAAGCATACACTGGGGGGAAATCATTATTTGATCCCCTGCTGAATTTGTATGTTTGCTCACTTACAAAGACATGAAAGGTTTTATGGTGGTTTCATTTTAAGGGACAGAGATAGAATATCAACCAAAACTCCAGAGAAAACACAATTTCAGCTTCTTTTTTTTTTCTTTTTAAAGTTAAAATTTAATCCCAACCAAAACATGGCCTAGTAGTTGGAGAAAGCCTTGTTGGCAAGTGGTAAGACATTTCTTGTCTCATCTCAGCTGGGAGTTTGGCCCACTGCTCTTGTCTAAATTCTCTAAATCTTTTAGGACAGCAGTCCCCGACCCCCGGGCCATGAGTCGTTTGGTACCCGGCCGCGAGAGTTGAGGCTCGGGTTAAAATCTATGGCTTTCAGGGTTTTAATCGGTTTTTAGCGTTATTTTTTTTTTAATGGTTTTTATTATTAACTCTGTTTCCCTCGGTCTTTTCCCGTGTGTTATGAATAAATCTTCCCTTTTTTGGTACCGCTACTGGTTTTATTTTGTTGTATTTATCTGTGACACCTTAAAGACCTATAATTCAATTCAATTTAGCTGCCTTTAAAGGAAAATATTGTCAGACATAAACCGGTCCGTGGTGCAAAAAAGGTTGGGGACCGTTGTTTTAGGAAGCTTCAGGTCTGAAGACTGGCTAAGCCACTGCTTCAGCCACTCCTTTGTTGCCTTTGTGATATGTTTTAGGTCATTGTCATGCTGGAAGACCTTGTCCCATTCACACTGGTCCCTCCATGTGGAAAAGTTGCCCTGTACCACTAGCAGAAAATTAGTCCAAAGCATGTTTCCGCCTCCATGCTTGACTGTGGGGATGATGTTCTTTGGGTAATACTCAGTTTCTCTTTCTCCAAACACATTCGAGTTTGATTGATCGATTGATTGTATCTGTGGGCCACAAAGGCATAGAGCTCGTCTGTGGGAGCCAGAATGACTTCTTCTTGAATTTAATCCTTTTCTGTATCATAGTGTTTACTTATCGATATGGTATTGAGCTTCATTCCTGTTTGCGATGACCACTCGCTTGGTTTCTAAAGTTTAACACTCACTAAGCAACCTGACATTCAGGGTTTTAAACATTTCCATGGTGACGTTGACCTCCACTAATCAAAGACATCGCTGTTTCAATTTAGGATTGTGGCTTTATTTCTTTTCGTGAATAAAAGACGTTTATGTTGAAACGAGGGGGAGCTCACACCATTGTTTCACAGAGCTGTAGCTCATAGTAAGTCTGCGTTTAATGGTTACGTAATCGCTCATAGTTATTGGGATTTTTACATCAAAATCTCCCTGCTGAGCTCCGTACTCTATGTAAAGGGTTAGAGTGAGTCAAAACATTAATATCAGACACCTAGCACACTGTTGTAGGCCCTTGTTAGCTTCAAGCATAAATCCTTAGTTATTTACCGTTTGACGTTTTGTTTTCTTGCTGAGAGTTAGATAAAAGATAAAACTTTCATGCCTCTGTGGTAAATATGAGCAGCGGTTTAGTTTAGCATAAAGACTGAAATCGGGGGAAACCACATTCATGGCTCTGTAGAATGAGCACTTTGTTTTTCTGTATGATGCAACAAATGAATCACCTCATCCAACCCTTTTGAATTTGTCTTAGCTTTTTTCAGAAACAGACACTGTTTGTCTTCCTGACGCCCTGAGTGAACGCTGCTGCCCTAAAGGAATATTATCTACATATATGTGTTATGTACTATA